AAATGAATAATGCAAAGAAGCTTAACATGATGTTGGATAATTGCTTTTGCTTTAGAACATGCTTTCTCTCTGCCTTAATGAAACAGAATTTCTACTGAACTGTTTTAACTACCTTTGCTTTCAGTCTGAGCTCAGTATCAGACTTGCAGACATGAGTGTAAATTACCAGTGCAAAAACCAGATATTGATTTTGGATAATGAGTCTAAATAAAGCACACCTTCATCCAGCCTTCTGTCCCTCCCACTTCCAATCTTCCCGTCTAGCTAGTCCCACTCCAGTTTGTCTTGTCTTTCCCAGTTCTCCTCCATGCAGCCTGGGTACCAGTAAGGACAGTGGAAGGGGTCTTACTGGGACCAAAGGAGAGACAGGCTCCCTGCTCTCAGTGCCAGTGCCTGGTTTGGTTTCACCCGTGTATGCCCGGGCTGGAGCATGCTCAATCGCTCTGTGGAGATACCTGTCAGAAGATGGTTTATGTGCTGTAATGCTGTATGAATGGTACATCCATAGTCCAGTCAGCTCCGGGAGTCCTGGAAGGCTCAAGCATGCTCACTGAGGATAAAAATCTTCAGATAATTTTTTATAGGCTTGTAACTTATTCAGATTTGGGTGAATGTTCACAGGGACAGTAAAAGGCACATTCCTGAGTCAATGACCACTCTGCTAAATTTTAAGTGTATTCTACTAAGCAAAGAGATGCTGGAGCTGTTCAAGGAGAAGGACACCAGACTTTAGCATGGACAAAATAACTCATCCTGCTTCTTGAAAACAGTTAAAGCATTTTGGTTGAAATATTCTTAAAAATCCAGCCCGAGGCAGACACCTAGCAGGGAAAGTTTCAGACCAAATGGTTAAAGTTTGGAAAAGAGCAGTTGAATACAAGGTCTTCTAATGAGAAATATTAGGCAACCTAAATGACAGTCAAAACGTCCTGCCTTAATACAGAGCTTTTCCAAGGATACCTCAGAAAAATGTCAGAAAAGTGGACATGTTTTGTTGGTGTCCCTGTAAAATCTTGTTTCATGAGGAAGAAGGAATGGTCCAAAAGAGGGATTTTCCCTCTGACATTTGGCTCCATGTAGATGGGCCAAATGTTAGAAAAGCCTCTTTTAGAAGAAAAGCGGAAAAAGATATGCAAGTTGTGGTTCACAATTTGCGTATCTTTTTTCCAGCTTTTCTTGGAGTAGACAGACAGACATGCAACACACACGCACACACAGAGTGTATTTTCAAATTCTTTGATTTGCCAATGTTTAAAGTTTCAAGATCTTGATTATGTGCATTAGTTAGCAAGAAGGAAATGATAATGTAACAATAACTCAAAGCTGGAATTAATTCTAGATGTGAGTCTACTGGTGACAAAAAAAGTAGGTTAAATGAAAGCCCAGAGAAGCTAACAAAAATATTCTATACAATGATTTTTCCAGCTTACCTAGAGGTTGAGATAAAGGGGAAAATGGAAATATTTATGAATACAGAAGAGGTTCGACATTTGTGGCAAATCAGCTAAAACAGGTGGACATCACTGGTAAAGCTTATCAATTTTTCTATCTGACTTGGGATGGTTTTCTTGTTACAGTTGCATGTCTCACTGGATTTGACTAAATGAGCAGGACCTTTGATATAAAGGAAACCGATCTTGAAAAAACAGAGGTACAAAGAAGTGCAGACAAGTTTCAGGTAATGCTAAATATGTTTTTCTTGTTTAGTAGAGTTAAAGAAGAGAAAAGGAATGGAAAGAAAAGAGGAAAAACAGTAAGAGGAAAATGGCAGGCACCAAGGTGAGAGAAAAGAAGAGAGGACTGAAAAAGAAAAGTGTCCCTAAGTTGGGCATAGAAAGTAACAGAAAATAAAGTGAAGAGAGAGAGTTAGAGTGCTTGGAAAGAAACAGGGCTACAACAGTAAAAGCGGTCATTTTATCTTTGTGTTGTCACACTATAGTTCTTTTCTTTCTTGATAATTGCAATATTAATAGTTTGAGTCTGCAAATAGTCAAAGTCTCTCAAGAGGGAATGGAGATATGTAATGAAAGCCCAAGCAAAAAATGTGTATCTTAAGGAAGGATTTAAAGAGAGTGTGAGGTAGCACACTAAACAGAATTCTGTGTGAGTCTTTGTCTGTTGGATAACAGGAATTTTAGCAGGACTAATGCTTTTGGGAGCTTTTTTAAAGAAACACTGAGGAGGGACTGGAGGAGGTCTTTAAAAATAGAACAACCTCAAAACAAACTCCTTGATATCTGATATTATTTGATGGTCCAGATGGTGACTGAACAGATTCTAAATGAACAAAGTAAAATTAAGAAAATACTGAAGGTTAAAAAAGTTTGGGAGAAATGTATTTATACAGATAGTAATTCATGTGCAAAACTGAATACTGAAGTACTGAAGGCAGAGGCTGCAAGTGTGTGTAAGTATAGATATTTAGAAGGTAAAAACAACAGAGGACCCAAATGATAGAGGTGGATTAATAAATGTAGGTGGGCCAGGCGATCTTCCTTGTAACCAAATAGTTTGTTACTATGATATACTTTAAAAAGACAAGGTAGGTATTTTTATTGGATCAACTTTGAAATTTGTCTCTCTCAACAACAGAAGTTGGTCAAATAAAAATATATTACTTCTCTTCTCTTTCTAATATCCTGGGATGACCATGGGTACAACAGTTCTTCATATGTTACCTATTGGGAGTCAATAAACACCTTAAATTAATTGACATGATAGTTAGACTTGACAGAATTATACTTCATATGATTTTCGTTAAGTACTTTTAGATTTTTATTGATTTAAATTAACAGTTACAGGAAATGATTGGGAGGGTGTCAGACAATTTTTTTTAAAGACAGCAGACATTCAGATTAAAAAAGGTAAAGCTTTACAACTCTTAGAACACACATTGTCAACATCCTATGTCAAGATATACAAACTAAATATCTTCGCATCAAATTCTAAGTTAAGCAGCATTTTACTTCCTTTGATTATTTGTAAGTTTCAGGTATTAATGATGGAAATATTCTTTAGTGGGTTTGTACATGTTGTGAGATCTGTGTTTACCAACAATTAGCATTAACCAGTCTAATCTTTCCAAGGCTACTTATACTATAAGAGTTGGAATTCTAATTTAAATAAACTTACTTTATTGAATGATTGACCATAAATAAGACTTTATTAAGTCATATCACTCACAGACTAGTCAAGATCACATGTTATATAAAATTATGATCTGTATCCCTCCAGTAATGTTATTACACAAGCTCAATACTGAATTTCTTGCATACCTAAAGCTCACATATTATGATATAATCTGTACAGGCTTGAGGGGAGGTTGCATTGTCTAGGGGAAAGGGTACTTGATTGGCGATTTAGGAGACCTGGGTTCTACTCCTAGATGTATTACTGAACTACTGGATGGCCTTGGGCAAGTCATTTCACATCTGGGTGCATCTTTCTGGGCAGGTGGAGATCAGTCATGGAAAACAGTCCATCTTTATGAATGACAATTCTGATCTCAAATCAAGCTGGTTTGCCAAAGTTGTGCCAATCACATATACTACATGGGATTTTACCAGTGACACTGGTTTATGGGATCAGATGAAGGCAAATCAAGCAAGTAGTCTGTAAAGGCATAATCCAAAGCAAGATGCAGGCAACAAAAGTTTTTCCATGACCATTAACAGGGTTTAGATCAGAAAACTCCAGGAATGATATTTGCAATTAATTTCTTATATACCCTAAACTCCCATGGAAGTTAATGGGAGCTTAGCATATTGAAGGATACATGATCTTACTTACACTGAGTAGTATCTTATTCCTGAGAACTCCCACTATTGCAGAAAGGACTGCTTTCAATGGAAAAATCACAAAAAGCAAAGTATAGCTAAAAATAAGTAAGGGTGATTGAAACTAAATTTAACTATTTTGTACACAAAATAATTTATTAAAATGCTTAACATTAAAATGTCATCATTGCATAGGGTTAGATTCTGTGACTATAGAATTCAACAGTAGTTACAGTTTTATATAATAACAGGTGTATTTATTAAGGAACAATCCAATGTATTAATCAATAACTGGAAAAACATTCTAAATAGTGCAGTACACATTCCTACTACAGTACTGGGTTTACAGTGTTTTCTTATGGCAGGAAGAGAATAAGTTGTTAATTCCGAGGGCTCACATGTCTTTTGGATTTCTAAAATAGTCTAATGTGACTAAAACTTTTTCTAGTCCCAATTACTTCTGAAGACACAAATAAGGTTAAATAAGAGTTGTAATTCTATGGGAACAACTCTACCCAAGTGGGTGTGCAGCACTTTAAAAATAGAATATTCAAATTAAATAAAAAGCCATCCATTAAAAACAAAGTGTGACACAAAGATCACAGAAGGTCAGCTGAAAAGCCCATCATAAACCTTATTAGCATTTCAAGGAAATACTAAAATTAAAATCTATTTTCATCTTTCACAGAAGGTTGTTGACAATGTTGAATATGATGAATGGGAATTATAGATGTTTAAACAGTAATTTGCTTTTTAATCAAAAGTGTTCAGTGCTAACATAGTATAGTATGTCAAACTAACACACTAAAGGTATCTAAAATGTGTATTATATAGGGCTTCTGAAATGAGCTTCTGTTACAGGAGTCTCCATTAAGTATTTACAGCAAGTAAAGACTACCACTAGAAACATTCATTGCAAACACAACCCTTTACTTCAATATTTAAACACTGTACCTTATTTCAGAATTTCATTCTAATTCCTGTTAATATAACCATCAAAGAGTAAGTGCAAAAACATTTGATACAATTCTAGCCCTATTTGCTGTCAGCTAAACGGACAGTAAACGACTGTATGTTTATAATGCAGGAATCCATAAAAGAAAATGAACTGTCACAAAGGATTGTTGCTGAATCATACCCATATTTATTATAAAAATCTCACTGCAGTTTCACATACTTACTTTGCAAGGTACTAAATAATATACAAATGTTAGGTGTACTTACAATTTGTTCCAAAAATCAAGACTAAGTAGAAGCAGCAGTCAGATGTCATCTCTCTCTCTTACAGAGCAATAGAGTTAATAAAAGTGAACGTATATGGTCTCCTAAATTGCATTCAAACCACAGTGATTGCTGAATGTTCTATTTCTGAATGCAACCTTCTGCAGAATACAAAGCAAGCTTCCCTCCCTTCTTTTTGCTTCCTCACTTACTCTCCTTGCAGTCTCTCTTTCTCCCCCCCACCCTCCTCTGCCAAGCAGTGATAGGGGAAAAGTTTTGAGAACATACAGTCTCTTCTTGTTTACACTAAGGATCTTATTTCTGTGTCCTATGACAGACTAAGGCTCGGGCGGGTGCATTGACAGATATTTTCCCTGTTCAAAGGCACTGTTATCCAGAATAATCAGACCTCTGGAGAATTATCAATGGAACTAGGGACTTCTTAATCTTGTCAGGAGGAGAATATTAAAGAAAAATGACCCATTTAAATTAATCCCTTCTAAATTAAACATTTGGTACAGTTCAGATAAAAGATTAGTGTTTTTTCTGGTAAGGGGAAGTAATAGGAATTTTTTTTATACATATTAGGAAATCAATGATTAACTAAAGTATAGGAATATAAACAGAATGTATTTTCTATAACATCACATAATTTACTAAAAATAATATTTGTTTATATTATTAACATTAAGTATTACTTTTGCATCCTTACTAATGCTAAACTAATTACCTGAAAGGGTAAAGAAAAGAGCCCCATCCAAACATTTTTCACAGAGGAATTAATAACAGAGAAATTAATATTGCTATAGCTCCTGAAGTATTTTCCTGCTATAGTAACTATTTTCTCCTTATTTCATTTATCTTGTGCTACTACCCATAGTAACATCCTTTACAAGAGTCCCAAACTCCTTGGCTACGTCTACACTGGCAAGATTTAGCGCAAATACTCTACATGCAAGAGCATGTGCCTTTGTGCAAAAGATTTGCTTTTGCACAAAAGCATCCGTGCCAGTGTAGACGCTCTCTTGCGCAAGAAAGCTCCGATGGCCATTTCAGCCATCAGGCTTTCTTGCGCAAGAAATTGACGTTACCTGTCTACACCGGCCCCTTGCGCAAGAACACTTGCGCAAGAGGACATATCCCTGAGTGGGAGCGTCAGAGTATTTGCACAAGAAGCATTGATTTCCTACATTAGAACGTCAGTGTTCTTGCACAAATACTCGCTGTCAGTGTAGACAGGCAGCAAGATTTTGCCCAAAAGCAGCCACTTTTGCGCTAAATCTTGCCAATGTAGACACAGCCCTTTAGTCTCCACCACCAGTCTTGGAGCATTAACCTTAATTAGTAGACTTGGTTTGTTATTTCAGAAGCACCTATCACTTTAAACACCAACTTGTTCCTCCATCCCCTCCATGTGCTTACAAAAGGGTGGGGTTGCGGGGGAAGGGAGAAAGCAAGGTTCTAAAATGTGATAGCTAATACGTTTAAGCAGGTCAAGTTTTATTTTAACATCTGTTAGATGATTGAGGTGAACTGAAGGGAATAAGTCTAGGGTTCATCTCCTACTACCAGAGGTTAGAAAACAGAATAAAAAAGACTTTCATATTTTCCAGTTTCAAAAACGTTTAAAGCCGACACCTGGAGCCCTGGAATATAATTGGTAACTTGCCAACTGCTGTACTACCACTTCTAGTTAGGAAAGGAAATTGAGAGACATTTGTGTGTGAATGAATTTAGAGCATGTGAAAAGTACTGGTCATATTGGAGAGTGAAGTCCACATTATTGCTATAGCAATTGTGTTAATGAAATGTATATTATAAATTGTTGTAACTACAGATCCAACATGAAACTCCCAATAAAAAAAGTTAAACACAGAGGGCTTTGTCCAGAGAACTACATAAGTGCCAACTGAAGCAGCCAGACTATCATTAGGATTGATTGATGAATAAAAGAGTATTTTTGTCTCATGCCTACTTAACTTTTAGCTACTCTTCTGGGGACTGCCAACGAGGTGCCAATTAAAGTCAGTTTTGACAGAGATACCTGTTCCCTGGAAACTGCTGTGATACAAAAAACCTGATTTTATGTAGGCCACCAAAAAGCAAAGATAGTGACAAATGTTGACATATTTAAGGATATATTACATTTTCAATCCCAAGAAATACCCAGTCTCTTTTTTAAAATTATGTTTAAGCAAACAAGCTATAGTGACATTGAACAATGTAGGTGTGAACTTCAGAGAAGGAAGGGGAGTGTTTACATTCTCATGGGCTATGCAAACATACATGACCAGTTCTATCCCCATTTTCTCTCTTCAGAAATAATTTGGATTTACTAACAGTGTCAGAGGGTAACTAGTTCTCTGAAGGGGATGGGGACAAGCTTGCCTCTGACAGGCTCTACAAGGGAATGAGGCAGCCAAAGTTCACCTGAGAGTGGTTAACTGGGAGGCAGTTAATGCCGCAGGAAGCACCTGGGCATAATAAAAGGGTAAGGACCTAGAGTAGGGGGGAAATGCCTCAGCAGAAAATGGCAGGGAGAGGGGAAAGACTGCAGAGATGTTTCTAACCAACACTCCAAAGTTGGAGCAGTAGTACATGAGATTGGGAAGAGCTGTAGAGGTGGAAAAGTCAAGGGTAGCTCAAGAAGCACTGGGGGTCCTGAGTTGGACTGCAGTAGGGTGGGTGGCTGAGCCTGGGTTACCTTACCTGCTTTAGCCAAACTATTTGCAGAAGGATCTAAACCTAGGAGATCTAGGGGCTGTCTGACTGGATAATCATGAAACTTCTGACTCCCCATTACCCTGCTGGGGATAGAGATTGTAGAAGATAACAAGGCCAGGGTGAACATAGAAGTGTGTGGTGAGGTTCCATCTTACACACAATCCTTTAGCTAATCCTCACAATAAAAAGTGTTTGGCTCATACCATATGATTTATCAATGCAGCCACTCACTTAATGCTGTTAAGCATCTTAATGATGCACAGTGCTCCATATTGTGATCATAAGAAGGTGATTTTTAAAATACTGCTTTTTATTAAAACCACTTTTGGTCTGAGTTTAGAATAACAGTTCTGGGTGTTGAAAGGGAAAGATGAGACTGTGGGGGGATCATAATTCAGTTTTCAAGTTGCTTTTTTAAGGAAGTAATAGGTTGGTTTTAAGTAAACTTAACACAGAAAGCAGGCAGTTGTACGTACACAACACTAATAAAATCTTTGTTCCCATCAACTTCAGGCTGATATTTCAGTGTGTTTGAATGTTAAGAGGGTCAACATTTCAATAATTTTTCCACTTGTAGCTATAGCAACCTTTCTATTTCACATGTGAAATTTAAATGTAAGAATACAATGTTGATTATAGAAAAAGCCTCTGTCTCACCTTTTCCAGTGTTGTGTAAACTGAGTGGGGTCTCCTGAGGAGGGTGGGGGGAATGAGTGATGTCACATGGCTTGCCCCTGTAGGAGGAAGTGCCACCTCCACTGATTCACCTCAGTGGGTCACCTAGCCTATGAGTCAGTGTGCCATACTGATTTCCTCTACCAGCAGTCTCCCTCCCCATGCTTGCTCCAGCCCTAGAGACTGACACATATGACTTCCCCATCCTGAAACCCCAGGTGCAGGTATTGGTCCTTCCCTAGCAGTTGCAGCCTAGCTGTAAGGTAGAAGTCTTGGCTGTGCAAAATGAGGGAGGGCATGGACAGATTCCATTAATGGTAAGGCAGGACATGGCTGGAAAACCACTGTTCTACATCATAAAAGACCTTGATAGCTGAAAGAGGTAGCTATGTTAATCTAGTTTTTGCTTGATTTAAAACCCCCCCTCACTTGAGCTTCCACAATTGAAAAACAAATTGCTCAGACTTGTAAAGGATTCCCACAGCAGGCCTAGCAGCAGAGGTTGGTTGGAAACATCCATAAAGATCCTGCTTTCTTCATGGAAACTCATGAAGACAGATCCCCTGTTAGTATAATCTTGCATTGGAGCCAGTTCTGCTGCAATAACAATTTACAAGATCAGAGGATTTGTCCCACTATATCCAAACGAATGCTGTGACTGTAATATTATTGCAAGGAACTATCAAACAGTGCTGTTAGAAATGTCCTTCATCTGAATATACAGAAGTTTGACCTTGCATGGAATGTTAGCTATGATGCTTTAAAAAAAAAAAAAAAAAAAAAAGATGCTGTGCACAGCACCAGCAAAGTCTGCTGTCTTTGCTTGAATCTTTTTGACTGGGTCTCTATTTAGCTGCAGCTGCTGCCTACAGGTATATTCATACAAGCAAACAAAACATTACCAATAGAAAAATATTGGTCATTGAATTAAGGCCATGGTTACTGAAGCTGAGAGTGAAGAGTCTCTCAGCAAAATAGCATCACCAAGGTTTTTAACAAATTAAATTTAGGGATGCCCAAAAGCTCTAAGAAGGAAATCTTTACCTATGTAGGTCTGATGCTAGTGTCCATGAGGATTTAGCCCCAGATTTGGGCTTTCTACTCAGCTGCATCTGAAATACATTTGCTCTAGCTTTGGAGCAAAAGGGCTTTAAGGATCTGGCCAGTGACCCTACATTAAACACAAAGTCTGTTCACAGCTTTGTTTCACCAAATGATATTGTTGTATTCTTTAACATTATAATGTAACCTTACAGTTACTTTGTCAGCTTTTCTGCTGCCTACACTTGGGGCTATCGTGGTCTCTATACTAATTTAAAACAGCCTCAAGGCTACTTTAAGTTACATGAGACTACCCATGGACCCAAGGGACCATTATGGCAATCATGAAGTACTGAGGCTACACTCTGGAGACTCACCTTGTCCTAGAAAGGTCCCCTAAACAGGGGAAATAATCCTTTGGAAAGTTCAGCTAAGTTATCAACTGCTACCTGTCTCTGGAAATATACACAGGAGGCTGAATGGGAGCAGACTTGGTTTATATTTTCCTCTGGAATACTAACAATTATAATTCATATAAAATGTCTATTCCAATAGGTAGTTTTTATTTTCTCAACAGATTGAGCAGAACCTGAGCCTTGTGTATGATTCTCATTAACATTAATGTGATTTAAATCTCCAACCAACTGAATTTAAAATATAATACTCCTGTATGTGTCAGTCTAACAGTGCTGACATTCTGAAGATTTAACTGTGCAAAGCTACTTCATTAGTTTAACTATAACTAATTTACATTGGCTGTAAGGCTCCATCAA